ACTTGCTATTTCTCAGAGAGCTGGACATTGAGTAAGATGACAGGAGAACAATTGATGCTTTAGAACTGTGGTGCTGGAGAAGTCTTGGACTCTTGAGAAGTCTTGTCAAGAAAAGAAATAGGTCTGTCTTGGAGAGGATTAAACCAAGTTTCTCCTTGGAGGCTAGGATTTTGAAGCTCTGTCTCACATGATTTGGTCATGTGTTTAGGAGGGACCAAACCAGTCCTTTGGAATAGTGGAGGAACAGCACAGGAGAGGAAGACTCCGATGAGATGGGTTGATACAGTAACTTGGTGGTGATGATGGGATTGTGTGTTGGAATTAAAACTGGCTCAGGACAGGGCAGGCCTCAGAGCTACTGTACATAGGATTGCTATGGGTCACAGGTAACTTGACGGCACATAACAACAACTTTTCATTTTCTTTACAAATTAATTGCTTTTCGTTTGTAAATAATGTGCAGATCATTTAAAACATTTTTGTATGTTGTTGTTCTCCATAGGTTTCCGTGGCTGATGTTTTGGAAGTAGGTCACCAGGTCTTTCCTCTGGTGCGTCTTTTGTTAGATTCCTACGCTCATCCTTCAGTTAGCAGCTGCGCATTTTAACTGTGTGTACCACCCAGGGACTCTGGGATGTCTTAGGAGATACACTTTGTCAGACTACAGAAGCATTCTTTAACCTTAGTTTGCTTAGAATTTTAAATGATGAATAATGTGGAATTTTAACAAGTGTTTTTTTGCTTAAGATGACCATATTCCTTTTATTCTGTTAATGTGGATTGCAGATTTGTTAAAAAATATGAATCAACTTGGAGTTACTGGAATACATTTATTTTGTTCATAAAATCTTACTTCATAATATGTTTGGTTTTCCTTTCTTAAATATTTAAGATTTTTTTTTTCATCTATATCCACAAGAGACACTGCTTCTTTTCCTTTTTCTGGTGATATCTGTATGAGGTTTCAGTGTCAGGGGATTGCCTACTTCATCAAGTAGACTGGGAAGTGTTTCTTTTCTGTGGAAAATGTGTGTTATTTTTTTCTTACATGTTTGATAGATACTATTACTAAAGCCACCTTGACCTACCTAGATTTTTCTTTATGGGACAATTTTAACTGAGGAGGACCTCATGCACTTACTGCAGAGGGTCAAGGACTGCAGCCTTCAGTATGGACTGAGGCTCAATGTCAAGAAGACAAAAATTCTCACCACC